ACTATACAATGCAGATACCAACATCACCTTGGAAGACTGAGCTTTGCTCAAGACCTCTAATATCTCAACTATTGCTACCTTAATGTGAGGGGAGTGCTTATTGACTAACGGTAATCGGCAAGAGAGGGTGGGACTAAAGCACTAAACTGAAATTAGAACCGGCATTGTAAACTGTTCAGCGTTTTAGGGTTTTATTTGAAGATATATGACCTGCTCTCATGTCCTGCTGGAAGTTTTCATTCATACAGTACCTTTTGAATGCAATTCCCTTACCTCCTGAATGGACTATTCTTTAAACTCTGTTGGTGGCTTGGAGTGCAAGAACAGTGGTTCTCCAAACTGGAGGGAGGCGCATTGCCTGGGAAAGTGATTGAAGGAGGACATCAGAGCCATCTACCTATCAGGTCAATGACTAACATGTAACCTTAACCCTCCACAAGCTATCTGATTCCTGAATGGCGAATAATTCATGTGGAAGGGACGTAAATAATCTCAACGATGCGTTTTATGGCAGTGTTCTATGACCTTTACCGTTATATATGATCAGGCCACTCTCTCCTCAATCTGAGACTTAATGGGTTCACTGCTCCATGATATTTGCACACCGCAGTAAAATAACAGCATTTTTTATTAAAGGGGACGTTCACCTTGGCCTCTCAAAACAATAAGAAAAAAAGTCACTGAAGCATCACATAGGCTAAAACGTTTCATTCAAACATGGACTAAATGCAAAACATCTTTCTCCAGCTATGTTGCTAACAGGGAACAAGCTCAGGTTTTTGCCATTTTAACATAAACTAACTTCCCTGCAAGCACTGCCTCTCTTCTGAAGCTGCTGTTAGCTACATTGAGCACAACCAACAGCATTGTGCACTGTGTTTACAGCAGCGTGCCACAAATGCAGGGGCACCATGAGTGTTCACATCATCCTTGGCATTTGGTATGGGATCGTTCACACCACATCAGTTGAGCTGGGTCAATCTGCACAGATCAACACAGGCTTAAATCCAAAGCATATAGAAAAGAATTGTTTTCTATGCACCCCCTTTCCCACCATAATGCTGTCTTGAGGTGGGCTGCAATGCATTGAGTAAAAATACAGACATGCTGCATTTGTTTGTAATGCATCCAACCTTACCTAAATGTATTACATGTCACCGCATATTCACTACTGTGCATGGAAGTGAATGAGGTGTAATTTTGTGGCATTTCAATAAAGTTTAAAAAAAAATGTAAACAGTGCCCTGCATTTAATTTGCACAAAGTGCCCCCCCCCCTCCTACAAAACAATAGCAAAAAGTTTCCCAGCACACTCACAAGCCAGCATGCAAAAAAACTTGTCTCAACGCTAAGGTTAAAAACAGAGGTTTAGATACACGTCTTCTGCAGAAAATGTGAAAGCCGCACAGCCACGCCAAGGCACCTCTATATAGTGCGGTCCTAACTCTAAACTATGAGAGTCTCCATCTTGGAGCACATATGGCAAAGGATCAAATTGGGTGCAGGTTTGTCAGGAGGAACCCCTACCTCCCTTAAAGGCACAGAGACGCACAAGAGACCCCGCACATCACAACGTCAGCTGAGACCCCCCATGCGTCACTGCACCAAATCAGTCAAGCAAAAGAAATGGCAAACGCACTCATCAATTTGTTACCAGCTACACAACAGAAACTAACCAGCACCCGTTTTAGCATCAAAGTGGGTGGAGCTAGAAGCATGCAACAAAGTGAAGATTAGTAATAAAGGAGAATGGAAGAAAAATGTATTAAATAATATCAGTTGCATTAGAGTATCTTTAATAATAAAGTCCATATGCTTTTAAAACTTAAAAGCAATCCTAGCAGATTATTACCTGAATTGTTGATTTAATAATAATTCATGATTTATTCAGCTTTCACTCAAACAGTCTGTGGGTGCATCTGTATAATAAAACAATGTATGACTGTGGTGGGGACATTACAGTGTAAGCTCCTCTGGTGCAGAAACCGATGAGAATGGTTTAGTGTTCTCTGTACAGTACTGAAGAATATGTCAGAGCTATATAATATAATCTAGGGACTGTGATGGACTGTGATGGAACATTAGAATGTAAGCTCCTCTGGTGCAGATGCTGATGTGACTGGCTCAGTGTTCTCTGTACAGCACTGTGGAATATGTCAAAGTTATGTGAATGTATAATAATAATAGTGTGTGACTATGGTGGGAGCATTAGGGTGTAAGTTACCCTGGTGCAAAGACTAAATGTAAATGTAAATATAAATAGTTCAGTGTTCTTTGTGCAGCACCACTGAATATATAAGGGCTTGTTCACACCAAGAGCGTTCCAGGAGCAGAGCAGTTACAGAACGGATCAAAACTGCATCCAATGTATTCCGATGGTATTTTGAGCTCTAGTTCACAGCGCAGCGTTCAGTTCCAGAGCATGTAAAAAACCGGCAGCAAGCCCAATTTTTCCTGCTCTGGAATGCATGCAAACGCATCAAAAACGCATGCAAACGCCCTGGAACGCACTGAAAGGCCATTTTAGGCTAAAAACAAATATGTCAGAGACATGTCAAAAATGCAGCAAAAGATGCGGCAGAACACACTGCACTGCGTGTGCAGAAACTCATGCAGATCTGGCCTGCATTTGGTGTGAACAAGCCCTAAGAGTTCTATAAAAATCAAATGAGAATAGTAGGTGACAGTACTAAGCATGTTGGAATGTAAGCTCCTTTGGTGCAGAGACTGATGTAAATGGCTTAGTGTTCTCCGTACTGCACTGCAGAATATGTCAGTGCTATATGATTGTAAAATAGTAGTGTGTGCCTGAGAACCAATCAGCTTCTCTTTTCAGTTAGCTCAGTTAAGATTTGAAAATGAAAGCGTGAAGCTGATTGGTTGCCATGCACAGCTGCTCCAGATTTTGTCTGCTCCACTCTTGATACATTTCCCCCTCAGTGTTCTCTGTACAGTACTGTGGAATGTCAGAGCTATATAACTGTATAATAATGGTGTGCGACTGTGGCGGGGACATTAGAATGTAAGCTCCTCTCCTTCAAAGATGGATAAGAACAGTGCAATGACACTACAATTCAGTGGAAGGAACAGGAACTAAATAAATAGAATAAATCTATACTGACAATGCAATTCAGCCTAATAAAGATACATTAAACAATTAACTGAAATTTCTGTTGTTGCATTAATATGGTGACCAAACTCTGCATATAGCTTTCCTATCTGTCCTGTATAATTTAGCAGAGCTGCCATAGGGGTAAATACTCTGTGATCATGACTTGTTTCTAGCGCGAACAGCAACAATTTTTTACACACAGTTAAGGCAAAACTCAGAGAAAGAACACAACAATAGGCACTACATTGACCTAATTCAACCCCAGTCCTCAATCTGAACCAATACATAATCCATCACCAAGCGACAGACTCCATCCCAGAGGCTGCTTGTGAAATGTACTTGCATGTTCACCCGAAATTAAAGTAATGGGAATTAACCAGCAGCAAAATTTGCAACAGATTGGGCCACCTACACCTGCTGGCGAACTACAAGTTCCAGCAAGGCCAGCCTAATTTTTGTTGTCCCAAACTGCTCACGGCTGTTGTTAATTTTATACACACTTCCCAGACTCTGACACCAAATCTTCCAACCAGCTGCCCCTTCCAGCGAGCAAAACACAACCATTTTCCTGCAGATTATGACAAGAAGCTTGAAGGACACTCCAACGCAATCCAAATAATAAAAGACCTACTTGCATGCATAAAAAGCAAATGTCCACGCATACATGTATCACAGGTTTGCCGTGTGCAAGCGAGCTTACAGCACTGGGGATCACGCAAAAAGGAATATGCAACTGAAAAGAAAAACACAATTCTGATAACATTATATAATAAACATGAAAAGGGAAAATATTATTCTAAATGTTTTATTAATTTACAGTAAAGCAAATAGACATAGTGAAGAGATAGTGAAAAGATAACACATGTAAACAATTTATTGTAGGAGAGAGAACTACAACAGACGGAGAAAGAACAGAATTACTGAGCATCGGTTGACACACTATGAATACCGAAGATCATCGTTTCCAAGGTGCCTGATATAGACTGCTGACACTAAATTCTAACGTGCGTACGTTTTTCTCATGTATTTGACACTAATATAAAGGGAAATGCTGCAGAAGGGGATTACAAAAAAGATGACCTTGGGACATTCAGCGTTGACAGCCTGTGAGACATTTCAGAAGTAGAACATTTTAGACGCTAAGCAAAGCAAGACAACTAAAAAGGAAGGGAAAAATCCAGCTCAACTTTTTGAGTTTTTGATTTGAAAATATGTGAACCGGTTCCACAAAACTGCCTGTTTACTTCAGACTGCCGAGCTCCTTAATTCTACAAGAAACTGTGCAACACTGTGCTGCTACATAAAGTAGAGAACTGTCAAGCAAGCAGCACATTTCAATGGTCAAGCTGTTTCTCAATGGATGAAAAAATAATAGACATTGACAAACTAGAGCTGAGCTATCAACACGCCGGCTGCTCTGCCACCGGTTATCCGAGACCTGTCACCTGCTTAACCTCAGACTTTTGTTTACTTGCAAGGTGTGCTAATGTTTTTCTCCAACGTAAACTGTGAATTTGTGACTCCTCTGTTCTCTGTCGAAAGAGCGATGACTCTTAAATGGCCGCAGCAATTACGCAGCATTCTGTAAACTTTCTTTAAATAATGTGGAAAAGGTATGTTGCCTCGGAATGTGTACAATTGCTTTCTTAACCCTTACACTACCCCGACATTGTTTGTGGCGCTCCTATTGGTTTTGCTACTAGCAAAAAATTGGGCACCAATTTTCTACAATGTTCCAAAATATACCTTTTAATATTCCACCAGGTACACAGCCTAAGAAACGTGAGTAGCTTTCATCAATGACCCTCCCAGGGGCTCATACAGGCTTCCCTAAGCAGCACAACATCACTAGCCTGCCTCTACAGAAGTAAACCTGAAATGTTCTCACCTTTAAATAGTGGAAGTCTTCTTACGGTTAGGTGAGGTCCTGCTTCTGGACCATGAGGCTTCTTCTGGCGGTCCAAACCTGACGTAAAGCAAGAATGGTGGTGGGATGACCCCTTTTCTGGCAGGTTGGTCTCTTCAAAGAGGCGATAGAATGGGTCTCTGGAGTCTAATTCAGCAACCAAAACCTGGAAGACATCACTTGTGGGATGCAGGGTGCATCCAGCAAGAGGCACAGAGGTGCCAGGTGCATGGAAGACGACAGGATGTGTCCTGATATTAGGCAGGGTTAAAAGATGCCGTTATGATTAAGATGGTGGCCGGGGAATAGGACAGCTCTGTTAGCACAGACTTGTGGGGATGTAATGCTTTTTATAGTAGGCTAGCAGATAATTCTGATTATGGTGAGGTCCTGAGGTCATAGCCCATCTGTAGTGGGTCCTGGGATCCAAACTGCAGTGCTGAAGTGATGTTTCGCCTTCAGCAGCAAGTGATCTTTTTAGTGAGCTGTGGCGGAGATATTCGGCATAGGAAAAGTTTTTGGTGTGACCCGTGGACATCCAGTAAAATTCCAGGGACCTGTTTGCCTTTGGCTGATAACACGGTTAAGCTCTATATTCCAGCAGGTTTTGGGAGTAGCATCTTGAAAGATCCTGGCATGCTGTTGTCTTTTTTGTAAAATATTGGGGTGCTCTGCTGCCTGTAGTTATTCTTTATGGTACAGCTCAGCCAGCCATGAGCTCTAAGGGTGCTGTCCAGCTCACGGTCTGCTCTTGAGGTGCTCTTCTCCTTACAGTAAGCTTCTGGGGTGCAGACCAGATTGCACAGACATGTGCTGTCCTGTTTACTATCAGTTGTTGCAGTGCTGTCTGGATTACAATCAGCTTCTTGAGTGCTGCACTCTTACAGTCCACTTCTGAACCAACATGCAATTTGTGAATGCTTTCTTATTTACTGTCTGAGCTGCTCTTCCACTAGCAGTTGGCTGCTCTCCACAGTAACCTCTTAGGGACCTGTCCTCTTGGCTGTAATCTCCTAAATTCAGTTTATACAGTTCTTCCAACTTGTATTAACCTTCAGCTTTCTTACAGTCATCTTCTGGGGTGCAGTTCTAATCGCACTAACCTTCTATACTTCCTAGTTAGATTTCTGGGTCCCCTGAAGTTTACAGCTGGAAGAATTTTTTTTACATGCAGCCCTGATTGTTCTAGGTTATTGGGAGTGCTGTCAACTTAGAGTGAGCTTTTGGGGTGCTTCATAGCTTGCAAAGTGCTTTTGGGTCGCTGCCCAAATTGCATTGCGCTTCTGAAATGCCCTTTAGTCTGCTTTTGTGTCTTTCAGAGCCTGACGGCACCAAACTGCTGGATGCTCTCCTCAAAGTCTGTTTCTGAGGTAAAGCATATCTTCAAAACAACTCGTGGAGTGCAGCCCTGATTGCACTGAGCTTTTAGAGTGTTCCCTTTAGAATGCCCTCCTGCCCTAAGTGGGGTGTCACACTGTTTTGCTACCCGACACTGTTTTCCTACCCTCAAATGGGTTTCAAACTCTACTGTTGCCCTTAGTGGAATATCAGGATGTCCTCTTGTCCTCAGCAGGGCATTAGTATGTCCTCTTGTCCTCAGTGGGGTATCAGGATGTCCTCTTGTCCTCAGTGGGGTATCAGGATGTCCTCTTGGCCTCAGTGGGTTATCAGGATGCCCTCTTGTACTCAGTGGGGTATCAGGATGTCCTCTTGCACTCAGCGTGGTGACAGATTGTACTCTTGCCCTCAGTGGAGTGTTAGGCTCTGTTCCTGCTCTTAGAGGGGTGTCATGCCCTCCTCGAGCCCTCAATTAGGTGTTAGGCTCTGTTTCTGCTCTTTGTGGGGTGTTAGGCTGTCTTCCTGCCCTCAGTAGAGTGCCAGGCTCCTCCTGCCCTCAGTGGGGTGTCCGGCTCCTCCAGCCCTCAGTGGGGTATCAGGTTGTGCTCCTGCCCTCAGTGGGGTGTCAAGCTCTCCCTCCTCCCTTCAGTGGGGTGTCAGGCTCTCCTCCTGCCCTCAGTGAGGTGTTAGACTCTGTTTCTACCCTCAGTGGGGTGCAGTGAGGAGTCGGGGGCCCCTCCGGCCGGCAGCAGGGGCTAGTTGTTGCAGCGCAGAGCGATTCTCCTCCTCTGAATAAAAGCTTCTCCCGCAGCTGCTGCTGTTATTGTCGGTGCACGAGCGCACAGACGGGAGCGCGCCCGGCTCCGGGGAGCTCTGGGTGGGGGCGCGCCTCGCGCCTTTTGCTACAGAAGAGCAGATTCGTGACATCATTGCGGCCATGTAACGTCATTTTCGGTAGGTACTTTCTCCTTATCTTTACCAGGAGCTCCGTGTATCCTCAGTTCATGCTCCGAAGACTGGTGCCAGTGCAGGAGAGGCGTACAATGCCTCACACCTCAGGAAAGCGGAAAAGTAACTGCTCCCACTCTGTAAACCGGTGCCAGGGACCAATCTCAGACGTACTGGAGCCAGACACAGCCAGGAAACCAGCATTTTCTATGGAACGGGGCAAGAGGGGGATTAACTCCCTAAATATAAGTTTATTGCAAGCTGCCAGGAAGGGGTTAAAGTGAATGTTTGCACCAACAAAGAAAACCTGCTGCTCTACAAAGTGCATGTGTACTTCATGTCTCCCAAGCAGTGACAGTAAACCTGTAGGCTACATGGAGAGTTCCAGCAGCTCAATAGTTGTAGGAGACAGCTATCTTCATCATAAGAAAAGATCAATCTCTAAACAAATGGAACAGTTGGATCTCTATGGGGTAAACTACACAAGCAGGAAGGAGAGGCAATTAATCCCTTATGTTTGGATATAGTAGAACTCATCATAGAGAATAGAATGCCCCCGATTTATAATAGTCTGCAGGCAAATCCGCCAGCAGGAGCTCTCCATGGTCCTGAACTGTGGAATCTACAGAGTCAGCACTCAGCACCGCTGGGAATAAATTACACTTTGTTTACAAATAGAAAAAACAAACAAACAGCCCTTTTAGCTGGATTCACACCTAAGCGCCACCTATTCAGCGTGCTTTACTCGCATCTTTATTAAGCGTTTTTGCGCTCATATGTTAAATCGCCCTTTTGTGAGCAGATTTTGGCACATTCATGTCAATGAGCAAAACGCACGTAATATGCATGCAAATAATCGCAAGCGCTTTCTATGGAGTCTGTGGGAGAAAACACACTAAAATCAGCCCGTAAGTAGCCCATGTAGTATTTTATGCGAGAGGCGTATTTCTGCTTGCGACAAAACGCTGACATGTGCACTGGGGTCATAGACATGAATGGGATTCCTAGTGTGGAGCTGTTTGTCTCACTGATTTATGAGCGACAAACAGCTGAAGTGTAAAGGGGGCCTTAAGCAAGGGGCGGGTGATTAGGGAGCCCCCCCTTCAAAAAGATGAGGATCCCAAAGCAATGGTGCTTGAAGCGAACAGGCATTGGGCTTTCTTGCATAGCCAGTGCCCAGGAAAGGGTGGCAGCAGTGGTGTCCCTAGCCTTTTTGCCGTCTTGGCAGCAAGGGGAGGGGGCTGTGCAATCAGAGCAGTGCTGCTGGGGTGGGGGTTTGAGGTGTCGGTGGTGTTGGTGCAATCAGAGTGAGGGGGCTGGGGGTATGGTGATGGTGCAATCAAATAGAGCTGCACCTAACGATAATTTTTTCATAATCGATTAGTTAGCCGATAATTACGTTAAATTAACCGGTTAATCGGGATTTTAAAAAATGGCTCCAGTGATGGACTACTAGTTTGTATTGAGATTGCAGTCCATCACAGGAGCAAGCTTGGAGCGGTGGAAGTAAAAAAAAAAAAAAACTGATGTGCATCATAGTGAAATGGAAAGTGTAAAATTATACAGCAATGAATGCAGAATGGCACCGACTATAGAGGACTACAAATCCTAGCAATAGTACATTATACAGCACAATGCAGAATACCACCAGCTAGAGGACTACAAATCCCAGCAATAGTACATTATACAGCACAATGCAGAATACCACCAGCTAGAGGACTACAAATCCCAGCAATAGTACATTATACAGCACAATGCAGAATACCACCAGCTAGAGGACTACAAATCCCAGCAATAGTACATTATACAGCACAATGCAGAATACCACCAGCTAGAGGACTACAAATCCCAGCAATAGTACATTATACAGCACAATGCAGAATACCACCAGCTAGAGGACTACAAATCCCAGCAATAGTACATTATACAGCACAATGCAGAATACCACCAGCTAGAGGACTACAAATCCCAGCAATAGTACATTATACAGCACAATGCAGAATACCACCAGCTAGAGGACTACAAATCCCAGCAATAGTACATTATACAGCACAATGCAGAATACCACCAGCTATAATGTACTATTGTTGGGATTTGTTGTACTCCTCTATAGCTGGTGGAGTTCACCCCCTCTCTCAAACCCCCAACCAATTCATCATGCATGCAGGTACGGGTACAAATTGTGAAGAAGCACATCAACTTGAACTCCAGCCATACAGTTGTTCAGACTCCTCTCCAGTACTTAAATTGCACACTGTGAGCTTCTCACAATGTGCATCAGAAGCTGAAGCCAGTAGTCTGTTTACATTAGGGATGCACAGATACCGATACTAGTATTGGTGCCGGTGCCGAGTATTTGGCCGAGTACTCGTACTCGTCCAAATGCTCCGATGCATAGCCCGATTCCTGAGCTTCTGATATCAGGAAGCCGGGCAGCAAGTCATTACACGCTGCCCGGGTTCCTGATTGGCCGGGAAGCTGTCCAATCAGGAAGCCGGCTCCTGGTGACGAGGAAGCATAAAGACGCATTCCCTGCTAATCGAAAGCCGGGTGGCGAGTCTTTACACACCACCCAGCTTCCCGGCTAATCAGGAAGCCAGGTGGACAGTCATTACACGCATCCTTGCTTTCTTAATGGGATTTCAGGTATCGGTATTCAGTATCGGTGAGTACTGGAAAAAAATTATCGCTACTCGATACCAAAAAAACGGTATTGGTGCATCCCTAGTTTACTTGTGTAAAGGGGACATGCCCCAACAAACCCCCCACCATGTATCATGGGCTCCACTCCCCCTCCTGCAGGCCCAGGACCAGCATGGTGGGTGGCAGCTGAGACAGGGGAGGCAGACCAACGAACACTCTCCGTTTACTGATCTCCTGTCCTGTGAACAGGACGTGTGAACAGAATGGAAGCGACAATGATTTAGTCATTACAGGCCGGGAAAGAAGCTGATCAAGCACAATCAGTGTGATCAGCTTCAGTTGACTACAAAGGTGACATTAGGGATCTAATAGAACTCTAATGTTTCTGTAAAGAGGACCTGTCACCACTAA